AGTCTCCCTGTCATTCTTTCTGCTCTCCCCTTTTGGGGTGGCTTTGGCTGCTGGGCGGTCTCACGACCCCCCTCCTTTTTTTCTGCACGCCGCTCCATCCCGCTACGTCCGATTCCGGAACGGTCTGGCCTATACACGGCTAGGGATGACCGCGGGGTGGGTTGGGGTGGCCCGGCCAGCGTGAGTGCACACGCTGGTGGTTGCAATGCTGGCCGCATCTGAGGTGTGTGGTGCGGCGGCGGGGACGCGAGTTGGGCGTGAGACTCGGCCCCGCCGGCACCCCGCACTGTCGGTGCCCGGAAGGTCCGAGACTGCCGTCCCCATCCCGGCGCCCCACCTTCCCCGGCCTGAGTTGCATTTTTCTCTGGGGCTCGCGTTCCGTCTTGTCAGAGCAGTCCGGGAAGCTCTGTAAGAGCCAGTGTGGGAGAACGCGGCGGTTTCGTTTTCGGAGACAGGTTGCCTTCTTAGGGCTAATGATTTTCACGCAGGCAACCTTCACACGGAGGCATTCCGGGTGAGAGGCACCCTCGGGGAGGCGGGATAAGGCAGCTCCCACACGCAAAGCCACTTAAAAAGTTATTTTGTGTGTCGTCGGCCCGGGGGGAGCCACTGTGGGGAGGAAGGAAAACCTCGGCCAGCCTCGCAGTCACCCTGGGATCTGGCGCGCGCGCGGATGAAGGATGCTGCGGAGGGGGTGGGCGGGGAAGGCGAGGGGGACCTGAGTCGTGCGGGTGAGGGAGGGCGGGTATTTCGGTCCTTGGAAGATCCAGTGGCGGCTGCGCAGGCTCCATTCCTCTCTCACTCCCCACCCCCCACACCCAGGGCAGAAACGGGATCATGAGGAATCTCATTAGCTAGAAAAGGGGGTGGACGCGAGAGGCCGTACAGTGTGCCCTTTAGGTACCCCTTTTTATGTTTCCTCTCGTCCCTGTCTCCCTGTCTCAGGAGCTAGAGGTCAGCTTGCAGCGGCGCCGGACTGTGGATGGCCTTGACTGACGGCGGCTGGTGCCTGCCGAAGCGCTTCGGGGCCGCGGCTGCGGACGCCAGCGACTCCGGATCCTTTCCAGCGCGGGAACCCTCCACGCCGCCTTCTCCCATCTCCTCTTCTTCCTCCTCCTGCTGCTCCCGGGGTGGGGAGCGCGGCCCCGGCAGCGCCAGCAACTGCAGGACGCCGCAGCTCGACACGGAGGCGGTGGCGGGAACCCCGGCCCGCTCGCTGCTGCTTAGTCCCTACGCCGCGCACCACCCCTTCGGGGCTCCCCACGGACCTTCGGCCCCGGGGGTCGCTGGCCCCGGGAGCGCCCTGCCGAGCTGGGAGGACCTGCTGCTCTTCACTGACCTCGACCAGGCCGCGACCGCCAGCAAGCTGCTGTGGTCCAGCCGCGGCGCCAAGCTGAGTCCCTTCGCACCCGAGCAGCCCGAGGAGATGTACCAGACCCTCGCCGCCCTCTCCAGCCAGGGTCCGGCCGCTTACGACGGCGCGCCCGGAGGCTTCGTGCACTCNCCGGGAAGAGCGCAATGATGGTGCCAACTTGGGCCAGTGAAGCAACGTCCTCCACAACTAGACTGAAGAACAAAACAACAGCAACTTGTCTGTTCCCATCCCCCCAATTCCCCAACTAAAAAAAAATTAAATAAAGACATATGAACTACCCCAAACAACACAATGGAAAATGTAAGTGATACTATTCTTAAATTGTGTTCAGTAAAAATGAAAGGAACTTGAAATTTTATTTGAATGGCCCCTTCAAAAATCACCCTTTTTCTCTTGTACTCTTTTCCTATTTTATTTTTGGTAGGTACCAGTCATAAATCTGTTCTTTCGTTATATTAATGGCAAAGACAGTTGCTCTGGGGACTAAAACCTGTTCCTTAACATTGCAACGATGAAAACAAAAGATGCATGTGTCCAGCACTGAAAATGGAAGTTATACCTCTGCTTTGTGTTCATGGTGCTGGAAATGCTATTGATGTTTAATAAATTCTTGCTGATTTGTACTATTAGCCGCTAATTCTCATAAATTCTGTGCCCCGCAGGTCTCACAGACTAGAGGAACACAGGAATACAGTAAAGATAAGCCACCTGTGATCTACCACATATCACAATGATCATGGTGCTGCCTGAGCATAAAGAAGGCAGCCGTAATTGTCATAATTGCCATAATTATGGGAGTGTGTTGGCGTGCATGGAAAAAAAAGAAGCCATTGTGTGATGGAAACACATGTGACAGCCTTCACTAGTTTTGTGATGGGTTTCATTGTCCTTAGAGTCACACCAATTGTGACTGTGAACACAACTTGGGGAACTCATGAACTCATGTGCCGCAAACCCAGGCAAAGTCCTAGCCATCATGTGGTACTTCCTCAAGTGAGAAAGGATGCCAACTCTGTCAGAAAGAAGAATCTTTACATTTGTTAGACATTAAAATATTTGCACCTTGAAAGTGTTTTATCTGCTCTGAAACTTTCACTTTTGCCTCTGATACAATCACGATATGCTGAGCGAAAGCCTATGACTCCATTCACTGATTAAATTATTGGCACATAATTTATCTGTATACAGAAAGGGTGAGTTTATGATCTTAAATTATCCCCAGTAGGAAATGTCTAACATTCTCAAAGACTTTTTCCCATATCTTTTTTTAATGCCTTTGGTCACTTCCTACCTAGCTTTTTTGAGGTCTTCATATGTCTTCTCTTCCCTCTCATCTCTCTTCCCCTTAAGAGGTGGCCTGAAATAGTTTATGCTTTTATTTATTCATCAAACAGTTCTAACAGCCTGCATGTTGAGTCAGGCACTCTTCTAAGCACTTTGTGAATATTAACTCATTTAGTCTCCATAACTCTTCTTTGAGGTGGCTACTGTTATTACCACCCCCTTATTACAGATGAGGAAGATGACAAGTAGAGATATTAAGGAACTTGCATAAGGATACACAGCTAGAGACAGAAAGTGAGCTATAGAGCTGGGATTTGAACCCAGATCTCCATACAGGTGCTTAACTTAGCTGCAGTGCTGAGGTGTAGACAGATTCTGTGGCTGGTCCACCAGCTCAACTCTTGGTAGGCTCTCCCCCATTCACCTAGTCTTTTTCACTTCTGCCCAGAGCATGCTGAGCTCCCTATAGAAAGACGATTTTGAAATGCAAAGGTTGACAGCTTTATTTGTGGTCCACACTGTGGTTTTTGGCTAGAGTCTGCCAGGCACTGGCTTTGTGATAGTCAGTTTTTTAAAATAGTGTAATATTCTCACTGTTTTTGTTGGATAATTGCATGTCTTTAATTTGTGGTATTATAAACAGAGCAGTAATGTGGCTCAGGAGTAGCCAGAGAAAGTTATTTGATATTCATTAAACCAAGTTTCTATTTTTATTCATCTCTGTAGAGGCGAATATTATTATGGTCAGGAAAAAGTAACATCATGGAATATATTCTAGTGGGTGTCTCCTTACTGGATAGGTTGAAAGAAAAAGCCTTCTGAAGAAGGTAGGCAATAATTCGGCTTCCTTCCCTAACAGGTGACTACAATTTTCCCCTTAGATATTATGACAGTTTAGCTTCCTTTAGAATATGAATTTTAAAGGGGGGAAAAAAACACACCTTTTATAGTTCATGGACTTGCAAGAGTGATTGTTTTTTAAAGACTTGTTTAAACTGCTGCTACCTAAAATATTTATCTTACTCAGAAAATTCTGATAGTTCAAGATAAATGAAAGCATTAAATCATGAAAAACAATTAGTTATTTAGTAAATATGAAGTCCCAGATAGTAATCATATTTAAATTAAGGACATTCATTGTCAATGAAAGCTTTTCATCAGTGTTCTGTGATTTAGTTGACTTATTATATATTTACAGGCAAAGAACAGATTATTTAGATTGCATCTTTCATCAGAAGGCATTTCAGTGGTTTGAAAACTTGAGCCTAAGCTAACTGTTCTGTCTTTGGAGATGACTCATTCCTTTTGTTTAGCCCATTGGTATAGTATTTAGATTAACTTGTAGGCTTCTATTTAACCTGACAGAGTCCAAAGAGCCAGATCAGACATATGCCAGTGGTTTTCCTGGGGCCCTGACAGAGCTACATGCAAGGAGGAGGATCTAAGCCATTAGCTGGTGATTAATGTTTATAGAAAGTAATATTTCTACCATTTTACAGATGAAGCAACTGAGGCACTGAGAGGTTAAGTGGATTGCCCTTAATCACAAATCTGTTTAGTAGATCCAGGAAAATCAGGCACTCATGCCAGCTGACCATGATTTTGCACCCAATTCTCAGCAATTCTAAATTTTGCAAGTTACAGTTCCTATACCTGCCTACAGGCAGGTTACAAAATTGAAGGTGGAACTAAAATGAGAGGATTTTAACCCCAGGGGAAGGAAGCTACCAAGGTTTGCTTTGGCTAACAGAGCTGACACAGGGGCTAATGTTTCCCCATGGACCCAAATTTCTTGGGCCCACTGGCTCTCTGCTGATCCCTCATGGCTTCCGTCCATGAGGATTCAATAAGCCTCAGACCGCTGGCTGGGGTGGGGGGCAGAAGGACTGTAAATCTGGGAAAGCTGCAAGTATTCAGGGTCTTGAACTTTATCAGGTTTAAATGTGTGATCGTGAAAGTAAAGAGCAGAGAAATGACAGCACTCAGTAAATCAAACGTAGAGAAGATCAGGACTGCCCGAGACATGAGAAAAACAGGCTCTGGGCACAAACCCTGCGGAAAACCTGCAGGGAGGGGAAGGCTTTCATGTTCCCTCCAGACTTTGCCTTCTGAAAAACAAATCTCTTTCCCTGTCATTTTATCTAGAGAACAGTATTCTTTGTTATGTTCCACGGATTTCTTTTTTTAAAAAAAGTTTTCATGATCAAGGTTTAGATCTTGTTTTAGAAGACAGAGTGCTATAAGGGGGGAAAAACAGAAAAATATCAGTTGAAAAGTGTCCGGAATTGCCTAGATTTTCCCCTGTCAATAGTGCATTCTGCTTTCAATACAATTGGAAAAAAAGTAGTGTGTTCCATAGCTCCTCAGAGATCTTTATTTTTTTCATTCCTGAACAAAAATGTGATTAAA